TGGACCATCTACAAATATTAATCTCAATAAGACAACTAGCTCCCAAAAGTTGACAGCAAAGAAGAAAAAACAAAGGATAATGGTTGATCTTAAGCTCATTCTTTGTCGTCTCGGTCTCAGGATGAGCAAAAGATCCTCTTCACATACTATTCTGGTAAATCACTAATCCGATGTGTTGCTAATCTTCAAGAGCATTGTGATATATTGAATACCATAGAGGTATCCTAAATCACATTGCTTAACTAGAGGAATCACTATATCTGGTGGATCTAGTCTAGGAGACGCATAAGGGATAATTTTCATGGTAAGGGTAAGTTACACAGTGGAGATAGGAAAGGTGAATTTGGTGAAAACATTGGCAAGATGAACAAGTATATATAGGTCTTTGGAGGCACAAATTGCACTAGAGTGACGTAAGGGGTGACGTCCATGGTTTTCCTTTATTGGTGCAAACAGCACACAACTTCCATATTTGCAGTTTCCTTTTTGGCTCAACTACCATATATGCAGTTTCCTTTTCTCGTCCACTTCCATATATGCTGTTCTTTCCTTGTAAAGCAATAGTTATACCATAAATGGTTTCATATTTTCCTTTTTGGTAAAGCAAGATTCTATCCAAATCCGTAAGGATTATTCATCTACTTGTTAGATTACCATATTTGTCTTTTTTTTCTTGCTCCTGTGCCTCATATCTGCAAAGAAAAAAGAGTATAAGAGCATTTCGTTTTTATTTATTTCTTGAATATGAATACTATTAAATTATGAAGGAAAATTCCAACATACTTGTTTCTTTTTATTTTGACTGACAAAATTATAGGAAGAATGGAAGTGATTCCATCAAATGTAGTCAAATCATCTAAAATTGTACAGAATTAAAATGGTTAGGCCTAAAAAAGTCTCCATCATAGATTAACTATTAAGGTTGTAATAATCTGCTATTGACAGATCAGCTACATTTTGGAATTAGAAAACTCTTGCCTGTAATAAGAAATGTGTTTCTATTTGTGAAAAATTCACTTATTGAGAAAATGGAAGGATATCTTGCCATGAAGCTAATAGGAAAAAGGAAAAAGAAAAGAAAATTTTATTCATTATGATTTTTTTTTTTTTTTCTAATCTCTTGGCTGGAACAGAAAAATTAGTCGGAGAGAAAAAAGGGAGGATGGTCATCATAAGAAGTTAATAGGGAGAAGTATGAAAAGAAAATCTGGCTCATGACAAACATGATTTGATTTGGTCAGCGATTACATTTCTTTCTTTTTTTCAAAGAGCAGTGATTTCATAAGCTACTGGTTAATTTTCCTTCTTTTCTTTACTAAATTCATGGTTTTGATTAATAAAATGAAATATATACATGCAAAGGAAAAGTTTTAATCTCATCATCAGCCATGTGGTCTGGTGGTAGAGTTACCTGTGCTCTTAGCCACAGGTCTAGGGTTCAATCCCTAGTCTCTACGTATCAAAAAAGGGAAAAGTTTTAATCTCATGTCACCAGTGTCAATAGATTTTACCAAGCTAGATGGAGATTCATACTTTCATAGAGAATTTTGCTAGCTTGAATAATGAATGACCCTTACCTGAAATGGTACTGGATTTTCCTGCAGAGAGTCACTGTCATGCCCCACCATTATCTCTATCTTTCTGGTAAATCATTGATCCGATAGATGTTTTAAGCCATGGATGAGAAAATTTCTCAGAAGTTGATG